TTAGTTTTTTTCAATCCACATGTATATATGTATATAGTATATATATCATTTAGCACACTTTTCATTTATGGTTTTACGATAACTTTGGTGTGACACATCACAGCACATACATACGTACATATGTGTACGTATTACAATTGCAATTAACATATGCTCAAGTGTCCGCTGTATACAATTAGCCACACACAATAGTGCAGATTAATATATTTGTCATTGACATACATTCATACATACAAATAACAGGTGATTTTGTTATATATTTAATATTTTTTTTACATTTTATTTTATTTTTAATTATTATTTTTTATTGTTACATCTAGAAATTAGTTTTATTGTTCTTCTGAATTTGCCATCTATTTTGTTGTGCAATTTTAACATTTTTATTCTTAATTAATAAATTTATATGCAGTCATAGGCATTTATATATTTATATTTATGTGTTTTTCTGCTATGTATTCATATTTAAAATTTCGAATTTTTTTCTAACTAAATACGGCTAAAGCTATTAAAATATAATATATAAATAACATTCGATTGAAGTTCAAAATAATAATTCGTGGGTGTAATGAACTTGATAACGAAAAACATACTTATATACGAAATATACAATAAATACGCATGGAAACCACAAATTGATTTATGCTTATAATATTTGAATGAACTTTGGAGCAACACTGTTCAACAGCAAGTTTAGCACTTCAGTGAATGATTAAGTGTTTTTTTTTATTTTGGGTTTCTGAAATTAGAAATTTAAAACTAGTCTTAAGATGAGCATACGTCCAATAGTCAGAAAACCTATAAAAAAAAAGGTCGATAAATGAAAAATCGATAAACGAAAAATACAAAAATCGATTAATACAAAAATCTACAAATGTGATAAATCGATTATTATTGCTTTTATAAATTGTAACTTATTTTCAGTTTTTGGTAAATTGTGATTTCTTTAAATAATTTAAAACAAAAATAATTTCGAAATCCTTTTAATTGCAACTCTGTTCAAATATTTCAAAAAGACACTTTGCGACTATAAAATATTTCTCGGTAAACAAGTAGTCTCTATTAATTTTTTTCAACAACCTCACTACAATAAATAAATAGTTTTCTAATTGAATCTATTTTAAATAATTTAATAAAGATCGAAAAGCTTCTACAAAAACTATATATTATATTATATCAAATTAACGCAAGCCTCAAGTGAAACCTACCAAATATAGTATATTTGTAAAAAATTGTTTTTCTTAGCTTTATATCTTCATTATATGACTGTAACAACGCTACGTTAGTAACTTAACCTCACTTTTCCAATTTTTTTTTTCACTCGGCACTTCTCCGTTCGCTATGAGTGAGCTCGACTTTCCTTAAAAAATTTGTTTGTTTTGACGTGAAAGTGGTGTAATCGCCTGCTATTGTATCGCTGGTTAAGTTTATCAGTTATGTACGTTCGATTTGTTACTTTGCCAGTTAAGATATAAGTTTATTCTTTTTTACACCCTTGGCTGCTGCTCATTTTTATGCGAAACATTTAGTACAAGAAAGTGGCCGCTTTTAGAAACAAAAAACGCTTTTATGCTAGTTGACTAAGCTCAGCTTTATGTCATCTCTGCTTAAAGCTTGATCTATCTTCTTATTCGCATTTTTCATGAGCGCCTTTAGGTAATTTAACAAATTAAGGAACCTAAATGTTTTAAATCCACTACCAGCATATGTAATTTAAGAAAAGCTTGTTCGTAACAGAAATACTTTCAGACATTAGTCAAAAGTGGTAGCGAAACCTGGTTTTGCACCATATTTTGCTCAACAAGTTATATAATTTTTTACACTATTGTTATATATTTTGCTCCATTTCTTTTTCTGAGTTGGGTCAATGGTTTTACTTTGTTCTACATAAATCTTTCTTGGAACTTTATACAAGAAACGTTATTTTTGGTTTTTAATATTTATTTTTACAATGAAACATCTTTAGTGCTTATGTTATTTAAATGTTACATAATATTATTTATGGTACCTTAACATTCTAATCACAATTTCATTATTTCATGTATTTACACTGATTAATTAATTTGTATATTTTTAAATTCAGTTTTCCTTGTTTTTTTTTCTTGTTTTGTTTAAAATATCCTTCTCACAATATATAAATAATAAAATTTTTTTCATGTACATTTTATTATTGATTTTACACAAGTTTTACTCTTTTCTTGAATGGTTTTAAACAAACATTCATACATTTATATATTCATAGATTATTGTAGTAGTGGCAGAAAACATTCCTGATGTAATTTCATGGAATGGTGCCGAGTTGCCAGTATATACAAACGGTTTACATACATACATTTTCTTAAGTGTGGAAAGATCTGTGTGCAGTACATTCATTGAGTAACTGGTGGCATTGACTTTAGGTGTAAAGTTCAAACATTTTATATATATCATATTTATGTATATTAATCAAATTGGAAGTTTGAGAGATACGATTGTGTCTAAAAATGATGATAACTTTGAACATATGTACATTTAATTTACATATATATATATATATATTTGATGTAAAAAAATAAAAATTAAAAAAAAATTAGAACAAAAAAAATTGTATTGCAAAACAGGCATTTGGAAAGCGTAATAAAGCGAATTAAAAAATTATATATGCAAAATAAAAAATATTTATAAAGATTACAAAAAGGAAATGAAAAAAAAAATAAAATAATAAATATTAAAGAATATAATATTTGAAAAAGGAGGCTAAAATAGTTTTTAAAAAAATTGGGTTAAATATTTTAAATTTAATTTGAATATTTTGACATTTTTTATTAACATATTAAAATATAAATATAAAATTAATATTAAAACAAGACTTTAGAAACGAAATAAAATATTTTTGAATTAAAGGGAAAAGTTAAAATGTTATAATACAAAATAAAAATATTGAAAATTTTATATTATAACGAAATTTTAGAAAGCGAATTTAAATGAAAATATAATAATAAGGTTAAAATATTAAAAAAAAAAAGAAATTCTTTGGAACAATAAAGGAACTAAAAAAATATACAAAAAGGAATTAAAATAAGGTTTAATTTAAATATTAATAAAATGCAATGAAAAATTAAAAATTTTTGTTTAAAAAATTTAATTCGGAAAAAACACTCAAAAGTGCAACCTTTCAATGTGCATAAATAATTTATTAATCAAGAATTAATTAACTCTCTTTTATTGTAATGAATTTTTATATATATGTATGTACATATATGTGCAGTTTGAATATTGTTGAATTTAAATTTAAAAACAAGGAATTAAATTTTTGTAGTTTAAGTTATTCATACTTTACATTATTTATAACGCTCAAAAAATTATTATTTGGTAAAAGTAATAATAAATACAAAAACAATAAATAAAAATAGTTTAAAATAGAAATAAAAAAATTAATAAAAATACATAATGAAATAATACACAATAAATTCGATTTACATGTTTTCAATATAACTATTTATATAGTACATAGTACTTAAGTATATGCTATGTACATTTAGGCTTTAATTTTAAGTTTCGAAAAAAATATTTGAAATTCACACGGAGTTTTTTGCTTTATTTGTTGCTGCTTGTCGCAGTGGTGTGAGACGTGCATATATACTATGTATGTATGTACATGTAAAAACTACAGATTACAGCTCAACATGCGCCGAGTAAGACTACAATTTCGAAGTGATAGGAATCCAGTTATAGTTTCAACGAACAATTCATTTACAAAAAAAAACCTAATTACAACAATATTTATATAATTATGTTTAGTTCATTGCCGTGCTAAATTTGTATTTGCATTAACTAGTTACGCTTTAACTTCGTTTCACTTTCAATTAGGTGCTCAGCACCTGCCTTTGTACTTAAAAGTAATTCGTCCAGCCCGTCCAGCAACACATCCAACTCAGGAACGTTCCATCGTCACGCTTTACGCACGCTCCGGGCATTTAGTCTGCACTATAGCCGGTTTGGCGCCGACCGCTAGTGTTGGTGCACTTACTGCACCCTCTGGCAACATGGCGGTGTGCACAATAATGCCCGGTTGATCTTCGCTCTGTGGATGCAGCTCGTGCGACTCGCCTGGCGTCAAACTGGCCAAGGCAGCCAAGAGATCATGATTGACCAGCGGCTCGTTCTCTTCGCGTGGCTCCCAACCGGCTGGCGGTGAAGCTGGTGGCGAAATTAGGAATTGCTTTACCGGCGCTGGTGGTTGTAGATTCTTATTCGAGACTGGCGTTACGGGCTGTGCAAAGTAACAAGTTATCGTCGTCTTCTTATTAAATTCATACTGATGCAATTTGATGCGTGCATTGGCCGCTGCTATGGCATTGTCATAGTTGACGCGCAAACGTCGGAAACTGCGTAACCACTGGAAGGTCGCCGAATCGCAGAAAGTACGGAAAAGTTCCTCCATCTGTTGTTTCAGTTCTGGATTGGTAAACACCTCCGAATGTATATTGGTCACAATTATGGATGTCGGCAAATCGTCGAAGGAATCCGGATCGACTGCTTCTTTTTCGCTTTCGCTGTCTACATCACCATCGGGTAGTGTAGGATGTTGGCTGGGTAAGCCATCGGCTTGATTTATATATATATCTTGATCCGGTGAGAGTTTTTCATTGCTGCTGCTGCCATCGCCGTTTTGTGTTGATTTCAATTTTAAGTTGTGGTTGTGATTTGTTTCACCACTATTGTTGTGGTTGTGTGATGTCGCCTCGTCCGTCGATCCGGAAGGTGGCGTGTTGGCGCGGGACGCCGACATTTTCGACGTGTCTCTGGTATGTGTATGTGGTAGGGTTTAAAGTGTATGCGGGATTCGCGAAGTTCTTGATTAGGTATGTGTTCTGACGTCGAGCAGGGGTGTGAAGATTGTTGAAATTCTGAAAACAAAAATTAATGATTATTTTTAGTATGCTGACAATTAAAAACAAGTATGCAAACTATAATTAAACTGAGGTGCTTTATAAATATTGTTGAGAAAATAATTTTGGGATAATTCAGTTATTGCGTAACTCGTAAGTATTCCAATACTTCCGTTCACAAATATAAAACATTTATCAAATTGGCACGAATCCACGAATTACTACTATTAATATTGTGGTTCCAATATGTTAAAATTCAAAATAGTAAAATCTCGGTTTTTGAGGTTATGATTTGAACTCCTCTGAGTAGTCCCCGCCAACAATTTTAGTCTTTAACTCGTCTGTGTAGAGAGCGAAGCATTCCCTATCTGCCACACATTCTATCATCCATTCTATCCTTCTGTGGAAATTTAGTGAGGTAGTCATAGAGCCCAAACTTATATCTTTAAGGAGGATATTAGCAAAGATGGCTTCATACCCAACGGCTCGTTGGCACTTTAATACAATGCAAATATTCCTTCAGTCTTGCAAGAAATAAGTTCAATCATTAGCTTTGAGGTGAAATGTACAATATCTTAATAAAGCTGTTTTATCTTATCTCCTATTTCCGAGATTATGGAATGTTATCTATGATATATCGAGATTCATAAAATGTGACACTTGGAAACTCGGAAACTAAACTCGAGCGTATTGCGAGAATAAAATTATTGTTTTCGAAAATGAGATTGTAATATATCCCCACAAGTTGATAATGAGAAAAACGGAAAAAGTCAGCCTTCAAGTTTTTTGGGTTTCAGATAAGTAGGTGTTTCTCTTCTATTAGGTGAACCTTAATTTCATAACTTTCTCCCCAGGTAATTACTTTTTATAAAGATGGAAAAATAGTTGTAGAAAAGCCTTTTCAAATAATAAGAATATAGATTCCAGTCAGAAAATCTGACGAATCTTTAAATATAATATATGTTGATAGATACGGGAGGTCTTTGATAAGTTAGATACCTAAAATGCAATAGAAAAAACCAGTACAAATGGTTTAAAGCATTTACCGCATATTCTCTCTTTGGTTATGATGGCTTTCATAATACAAGGTTTCGGAATATGTATCCAGAAAAAATACATGTTATGTTTCATATTTCTGAACCTCGTGTGGGATTTCTGCTTATTAAAGAGCGAAAAGAACAAATATTGTCTCCAATTATAGAATTTAATTCGATCTACCAAGCATCAAAGGCGCACCCTAACCTCTTTATCCAACCGGCAGTTAATCCAAGAAAAGGCAAATAAAACCCTCTCAAAATATCTCGTAGTCGGCTTAATACTTCAAGGTGAGTAAACTTATGTCTGCCTCAATTAATTTTTACCGTTAAAAATAGCTGTTAGCTACATAGAAGGCTTTTTTGACCAAAATAAAAGAAATAGAAATTGCAAGGAAAGTCAATAAACATAGAACCAAAGACCTTTCCGTTTCAACGCTTTTATGCCATTATAATCAAATATATGCAATCATATGTATATTTTGGCAAAGGCTCAATTAACCATTTACCCTAGTGACTTCCACTTGCTGCATATGCACATACATATGTTTGGTATGCGAAATAGGCATTACTGTGCCTTCTAACGGGAAATGTCATCAGTCAGCAAACTATTCACTTGTTACATAATCAAACAGGTAAACTTCCTGCTGTCGTCGTTTCCGCAAAGCGCCGTTAGCGAGAGTGCCTCTATTTGTGTCTCTTAGATATTGCCATTCTTTCTTGCTATTTTTTGAAATTTTATCGCAAAATTAGAATGTCTGCATTGTCGACCTTTACAACCATGTCGGCATGCCTTTATATACATATGAACGAAGATGTCCTTTCGCTGATGGCATTCACTGGCGAACATTGTGGGGCTTAATCTGGTTATGTATGTCTCATGAAAAGGTAAGCGGATCAGTGAGCATATCCGGTAAGCATTGTGGGCTGTTTATTTTGGTTATTTACAAACTGAAGACGGAGAGAGACATAGACACCTGTCTAAGTACAGCCCTATTAAGTACATGTAGATTTGTATGCGATTGTATGGTAGTACTTATTTATTTATGTACCTTGCAGAGAAAACACTTAGCAATCATACCAAATTTGTATTCAATACTAATTAATGGTAGGATAATTCGCTTAATATAATAGTTTTGTACACCTTATTTTTGTTTGTGATAAATGTCTTCAAAGCGTCATAAATTGAAGAGTGGCGAATCGAACAAACAACTGCTATAAATGCAATAGACTGGCATAAACATATATACATAGATAGTCTAGCAAACAGTTATAGCCGTAATAAAATATGTCGAGTTTAGGATAAGAAAATAATCAGAATGAATCTCAAATTGAGGAGATATATTTTGAGACCAATTTAGATCGGTATTGTTTGTATTTATTTTGAGTTCAGATCTGGCTGAAAGGATTATTCCAATACAAATTGTATTTTATAAATCAAATAATTTTTTAGGTGGATGATCTTAAGATCAGGGAGGAAATCTTGGTTTCTATATACATCTTCTATAAACCGACTCAGCTCGTCACGCTGAACATTTATATATACTTTATTTTGTAGGGTCTCCGACGTTTCCTTTTGGGTATTACAAACTTCGTGGCAAACTTCATATACCCTGTTTAGGGTATAATAAACTAGAGAGACTAGTAAATTACAGCCGAACTCTGAGAGTTGACATCTTAAGGGAAGTTAACAAGGCAAGCACATCGGGCTTGGGATTCAAAGTAGTTATAACATTTTTTTTTTTTTTTAACTAATTATAATTGAAATTCTTGTGAAAAAAGTTGGACTTAAAAGAGGTGGCATTAATCGACCTCCCTTGTAGTACAGACGCAATTTTTTCATTGAGTTGTCTTTCTTATTGTCACATATTTTTTATGAATCAACAGCAATCTATCTCGTCCTCAGAAGACATTTTTTTCGGCAGTTAGGCTCTCTCCACATTTACCCAATACAGGTTTTTTTGTTGTCTAAATGTTTATTCTCTGCTCCAAGTTTTTTAGTATTTATATCTCATTTATTTTACTATTTAGAACATTTATCCACTGACCCATTAAAGTATGACCCATAATGAGTATGAGCGCACAAAATTTAGGAGAAAATATATGTAAATACTATATAGATAACAATAAAAATAGCTAGAAAGCTATAAAAAGAATAAAGCAATAAAAGAAGTGCAATAACGAAGCAATCGGATAATTGTTGGAAAAGTGAAATTGATTGCGCGGGAAAGTAATTTTGAAAGTATAAGAAAAAAGGCCACTAAAATTCTATTGTATATGAGAAAATGTAATGTGAGAAGAACCACAAAACGTCGAATTTATAAAATATTAGTAAGGGGTTCCCACTTGCCTTCTTCTATATGTTGTGATGTGCAGTTCTATAATCCCACAAATATTAAACAGTCTCGTTGAAAATGTTCAACTTTTGTGTTAAGCTTTTTAACACAGGGTTTGTGGAATAGTTTTATCTAAAGAATTTAATAAATTTTTCTGAATTGCACTTTTAGAAATGTTTTCCGCGAAGATTTGATTTTCTGCCTGCAAGTATATTGGTAATTGCATATGGATAATTCTAATAAAAAAATAGCAGAATCAAAAGCATTGAAGAATAGTCCATCAACCTTTTAAGGATTGATTAAGATTTTAAGATTTTTTAAACTCATAGAACAATGAATTTGAAAGATAACATCCAGAAAAACAAGAACAAAAGTTTAGTCAAATATCTATTAAGATGGCAACATGCTGTAAGACCCTGAATTTGTACGATAATATTAGAAGCTCACGATAATGAGGGAAGTCAAGACAAATATATACATATTAAGTATAGTAGTAAAGAAAGTCTTCGGAAGGTCCATAGCGACTATGTTTCGCTATCAACATGAAAAATATCTCGTGGGGAAATTTTTCTAGATTTTGTTTGGTAATAATGTATATGCTATGGTAGTCTAATCTATATAATATGTTCGAAGATTTCGTGAAGATAGCCTGTCAAAAATAAAAATGTTTTCACCACAAGGACACGATTTTGATCGCTCAGTTTGTATGACAGATATATGCTATAGTGGTCCGATATTGGCGATTTCGACATACGTGCAGCTTCTTTGTGAGAAAAGGATATAGGCAAATCTCAGAACGGTATCACAAAAGCTGAGTCATTTATTTTCTACATGCTTTATAGGGTCTCCGACATTTCGTTTTTGGTGTTGCAATCTTCATGGCAAACTTAATGTACCCTGTTCAGGGTATAAAAACATATTGAGACTTTACAAAAATATCACCCACTCGTCGATGTACTCATTATACATAATAAAACTAACTTAAGTGCTTTCACCGTCATTAAATTTGAGATATTACTTAAGCCTTAAAATTACGATAATAAAAAAGCATGGAGAACTAAGAATAGCACAAGATGTTTAAATTTACTGACAACTTTAAGTACACATTCGCCAGTTTTAACCAAAGTCATGGTCACGAGTCTTCCTTCAGCCATTCAATGTCATATGTACAGATGTATGTATGTATGAGTATATCTTACGTCGCCCACACTCTTACCTGCGTGAACATGAAACGCGGTAAAATGCTCACACTCTCCCACTCTTCGATTTAGACATAAGAACAACGATTGCATGACTGACTGCTTCGCTGACTGACGCAGACCATTAGTCATTTTCTGCTTCCGCTTCAATTAATCACAAATATACGCCAGAAGGATATCGAGTACATAACACACATACCACACTTGTGGGCTACACTTAAATTTAGCCTTTATGGAAGTATTCGTGCTACAACAACAGAGGTGTTAAGTGATGAGTATACAAATTTATGAGTTTATTACTTGGCATTATTCCGAAGAAGATGCCGTTATTAATATATTCTACGACTATTAGTTCGTCAATTATTTTACTTGGGCCGATTTGCCACACTTCATTCAATCTACTCAGCTTTTCAACGCAAAAAATGCTATGAATAAGGTTCAGTGGTCTA